TGTGGGAGAAGTTTATTGCTCTAGCCAGGTTGCTTATCTTTCTGGTCATTCTAAAAATCCATACATCCACTCACCTTCATGTCTTTTCTCTCTAGGTCTCCTCTAGGTACATCTTCACCACACCTTTCCCAGCCCAGGTGTGGAGGTAGCAGAAGCATCCCTTTCCGAAAAGCCATCCTTCCCTCTGTAGCGACTGGCCTCACTTCTGAATAGCTTTCATTTCTCCTGGTTATAGAACCAAGGGTCTTCCGCCCATGAATCAACAGTCCAGTATGTCTTGGATTTGAATCTGACACATTATTGCACTCATTTTGAGGTAGGGGAGAAGGATTGGACTTGTTATCCTGGTAGTTATTGCTTTGTTCCTCTCTTTCTCTATACTATTCTGTTATTTTCCAAAGGGACTTTTGGATCCTCTCATAAGCTAGGGAGGCTGGTGCCTAGTAGGGAGGCCCTAAGTTGCCTCCATTGCAGAAGTGTGTTGCTCCAGACTGGCCACACTCTCCTCAGTTTACACATGCTGTCTACACAGGTGGCTGTCAGGTCACATAAGTCCTATAGCAGTTTCCCATAAGGATCTGCTTCCCCACCTAACTCCCCAGGACTTAATTTCCCTAAAGGAATTGAGGTAGAGTTTTTCCAAGGAAAATTAACCTTCTAGAGCTAGTTGATTGTTATTGAGTGGCTTATTGGTTTTGCAAAGGAATTGGAATTGTAGGACTTCTGACAATTGGATCAGTTTCTCTTGGCTGTCAAAGATTTGCATGAGGAGCTCCAGAATCGAGGGGAAGAGAAATTTTCCTAGTTGCCTCTCCCTCGGACTTGGACTTTGAGAACAATTTTAGGGTGTGATATAAGGGACAGGAAGGGCAACAAAATATCTTGAAATGAAACAAAGTTAGGTAACAGGGACCCCAATGCTGGTGACCCAGGCCTATTACAGGAGGGAAGAACGGTTTGATATAGCCAGGGGTTCATGGTGGAAGTCTCTGTGAAGCCAAATTCATGATATAATGATTGATCAATTTCATAAATATTCACTTACTTTGCCAGACACTGGGCTGGGCTTTGGTCATGTACATTGAGGGCTAAAACCTGCTTGGTATCTCTCCTTGGAGTGTTTATCCTTGGGGTGCATTCAGAGAATGGTAGCTAAGAATGCGGGCCAAGCCTGGGCCCTGGGGCCTCTATGCCAGAGGACAAACACTTGTCACTGTACTGTGCTGGTTTGGAAGGAACTAGAAGGAGGGAACCACAGAGCATGGGTGAGGGCAGGGCAGGAGATGTGGGTCCTTGTCCTGAGGGCAGTCAGGTGTTCCAAGATGAACAGATGAGCTGGAGTAAGGGGTAGAGAGGACTGGGACAAGTGGGGCTGATGTGGGGAGATATTGGAGGCTCTGCAGTGGCCCAGGCCAGTGGTCTCCACATTATTTTACTAGCCACTCAAGCAACAGAAAGACATTGAACAGAGATTTCCAATATGTGTATTTTAAATCTATTTCTAAAAAGTATGCTGACATGTTATGTCTTATTTGAGATATAATATAAAAATAGGTGATATAGTGTTACATTATATATTAGCTATTATGTGTAATATGTATAAATATAATAATATGTATAAAAGAAACCAATGGTGTTGACCTAAAGATGAAGTAGGTACAGTTTTTTAAAAAGTTTTGTTTTCATGATTAATCTGCTTCATTATATCTATTGAGTCTTGGTGTGTCATTTTGTGATAAAGCAATTCAAACCTCAATTTGTAACTGGAGTTTATTTTAGTAGTTTTATTGTCTGTCTGTTGCTTGCAAAATACCTTTCACAAAGATATGTAGATCTTAGTAGAAGAAATATACTACTGACTGCACTTACTAAATCATGATATTCAGTACTTCAGTCTCATCTACCAAAAACATGAACGTTTTTATTGGTTTGGCTAGTAAATTTCTGTTTTCCTTGATGTCAGTTAGTTTTTCGTGAAAACAAATCAGGAGTTGCATTTTTCTAATTTCAACAAATGGATTAAGAAATTAAATACTCAATTTGAAAGATTGAGTAGTCTATTTTCAAAATTTTAAAGTGTTTCTCCATGAGGAATTTTAAAAGGAGAGCACATATCATTTTTTGGTAACAAAATATAATAATTAGAAAATTTTGAAACAGCCATTTTAAAAGCTCTCTCTTCTGTGAATATATTTCCCTGGCAAACTTCACAGTGTGGGGTGGCTTTGATGGAGAGTGACTGGTTATTCAGGTCCTGTGATCCTGACATCTGTCCTCACGTGATTGGACAATATATCCATTCGTACCTCCATATGTCAATACAGTGGTTGCCCGTTTGTGTGGCTTCGCTTTTTGTGGTTTCACTTACTCTTTGTCAACTGAGGTTTGAGATTATTAAATGGAAAGTGCCAAAAATAAATAATTAGTGGCTTTTAAATTTTATGCCACTCTGAGTAGTGTGATGACATTTCACACCATCCTGCTCAATCTCACCTGGGACATGAATTCTCCCTTTGTCCACTGTATCCATGCTGAGTATACTGCCCTCCTGTCAGTCACTCAGTAGCTGTTTCACTTATCAGGTCACTTGTCATAGTATCAGCATTGAAATGTACTAAAGTAAGTCTTATTTTACTTAATAATGGCCTCAAAGTGCAAATTGGTGCTGTTGGCACTTTTATTATAGTACAGTGTTATAATTGTTTTGATTAATTAGTTGTTGATAAATTCTTACTGTGGCTAATTTATGAATCAAACTTTATCATGGGTAATTATGTATGAGGAAAAATAGTCTGTATAGGCCTTGGTACTATCTGTTCTTTCAGGTATTTACTGGGAGTGTTGGAGTATAGCCCGGAGGGGGTGCCCCAACGGGGACCATTGTATATACACAGGCATGCACTCCACCTCCATCTCTATTTGATTCACCTGCCTGGAAACAATGAACATCTGGGGCAGATCATGCATTTCTCAGTGGTGTGTGTGTGTGTGTGTGTGTGTGTGTGTGTGTATGTGTGTGTGTTCCTGTGTGTGTAATGCAGCAGTGAAGTTGTGTGACTAGGGTTACTAGTTCTGGAGTCTTATAGCTGTATTGCTAAGCCATTTCTTCTCCAAATATGTTTCTTTGTTTAGTTTACTTCTCTGCACCTCCATTTCCTAGTATGAAAACTGGTGAAAATATACCGATGACACGAATCCTTGCACATGTAAAATACTTGGCTTTGTGCTCAGCATAAAATAACCACTCATCCCACTTGTTCATGTCCATCCACTCCTGCATATGCACCACAAGCGAATCATTGTGTTAGTAGTGTGTTCTTCATAGACCTCTTTCCCATAAGCCTTCCGTGTGTTGGTTCATCTGGAGGTTGATCAGTAATTACGTATGTTTATACTTTCCTAAGCAAGAACATAGTTTCTCGGTCAACGTCATTGGGGTGCAATTTACATTTGTAGCTCCCAGCATGATTGACTCTTCTCTTACCTTGGTGATGAAAGTTTGCTTTCTTTCATTTGTCTGTTCATTTGATTCTTCCCTCTTTTCTTCCCACCTAATCCCTTACTATGAGCCAGGTATTGTGTGCGGTGTAGACCATTAAGGAAGTCTGCAGGACAAACTGACTTGTCCAAACTTATTCCAGTTCAAGGGCAGGGAAGAGGAGGTGTTGGGATGCACAGCTACCAGAAGCTGACAAGTCCTGCTCCTGGACTGTCACTCACAATAACTCAGAAATACTCTTCCTACCAGGAAGGTGTGAGGTACTTGATAGCTGACTGGGAAATCAAAAGGGAATTGGAAATAGAAAGGTCCTCCTTGGGAAACTAGAGAAAGAACAGAGGAGGATGAGGTGGCACAGACATATTTTAATTCCATTTCCCCTGAGGACACAGTGCCCATTTAGTTCTTTCCCTGTGGTTGAACTTGAGTCCTGTGGACCAGCCATTCTGCACCCTTCTCTCCTCTAGCCTCTTCTCACCATGACTTCATTACCAGTGGAGATTCACCTGCAGTTCTCTGAAGTCTAGATCCTCTTTTGCTTGCCTTCTCTTTCCCAGGCCACTCCAGAGTGTCTTCCTCAGTGAGGCAGGTCACACCTACATTGTCCACCTACCTGGACAGGCACTTCTGCTCCAGTCTCCCTCAGCATCAGGAACTGGTCTTTACCACAACACTTTCGGTGCCTGTTGAAAGGTTGATTTTCCTGTTTGTCTGCTTGCAGAGACTGAGCTTCTTGAGGAAAAAAGAATCTTACCCCGGAGGACCCCAAATGAGTGTTAGAATGATGAGAGCACTGTCCCAGGGCCAGGCTGGTTTCAGAGAAGCACAGTCCGTCCAAAGCAGAGCAGACAAATGATGGCAGAGTGGCCCTTGAGGACTAGCAGTGGAGTCTGCAGGAGCAACCAAGCCCCGCTAAGGCAGGATGTGCCTATGTCACTGTCGAGGAGGGAGAGGGATCATTCTGTCTGCCCTGCAAACCTTCTCTTCCGATGGCAACGCAGATGGGTACTCTTTGCTTCCAGACACCCGCTGTCCCCTTAACCTTTCCTGGTCATCCACACCTGTCTATCAGAGCTGCATTAAGCCATCCTGCTGCACTCAGTGCAACTTGTTACATGGAAGCTTTCACAAGCAATTGCTTTTATCTAAAATTTGAAGAACCCACTTTGGTAACATTTTTTTAATCCAGTTGCGTGTTTTCGAAGCTATTAACTGTACTTTGTCCTCAAAACGAGGCTGAGTCCTTAGTTGGGGGTCAAATACTTCTTGTTGCTGAATCCACCTCTGGCCCCTCTCCCTCCCATCTGGGCTTGAGAACCCTGTGGCTGCACTAGAGCCTGCCTGGCCATGCCTTGGGCTCCCTGCTGTGGATGCTCAGGACAGGTTCCCAGAACTCTGTGGGAAGTGCGCCCCTTGGGGCCTGGACTTTTATCAAGTGACAGTGTGGCTCAGCTCCTTGGAAGTATGTGATTTTCAAAGGATGGCTCTTATTGCATCCCAGGTGGACTGCAAGCCAGCTGTGTCCACGGGTAGCTGGTATACATGGAGAGGGCTGAGCACCATGAGGTTGTAAAGAATAAAGACCAGGAAGAAGATAGAGGCTGCGAGACAGGTCATTCCATCTGGACTGGACTGAATTATTGTTCCTGAATCTTCACCCCTTCCTGGATTTGTACTGCTGGCCATGTAACTTTGAAGCTTCCACACTCTCACTAACATGCAGCGAACTTCCCCAGCTTACATTTGGGCAAGGTTCTTGATCTACTGTGGCCTGAGATTTACAGGTGGAATTAACAGCATATCTGAGGCGAGCTCTTCAAAGAATCCTGCATTTCTGCTCAATCGTGGGTATCATGAGAAAAGCTTCCCCTTGGGAGCTACCTGTCCCTTGTCAGCCTGAACCCCAGAATGAATGCAAAGAGAACAGACCTGAGTCTGAGCCACAGCAAAGAAACATATCCAGCCACTTGCAGCTTAAAACAGAGATAGTCCTTTTGCATTAGCCAGTGCACAGATGTGTAAGAAAAAAATAATCACTGTGGTGAGTTCTGAGGTGGTTTTTCTTTGCCCCAGTAACTAGCCAATAGACATTGTGAAATTGGGAACATTGATTAACCTCTCTGGCCTCTGTTCCCTGATCTGTGAGACAGAGATAATAGTGATGTTCTCCTGTAGGCTTGTTGGGAGGATTAAAGGGAGTAACACATGGAAGTATTTATAACAACTCGATACACTGCAAGTGCTCCATAAAAGATGCTGCTATTGATCTAAAGTTTTATCATTATTATTACAGGATATTTCACAATGTCTCAATGTAAAATTTTGAAATGGGTAAACTATATTCTTTTCCTAAATTCTTTTGGTACTTTTTCCAAATTGTCTTTTTTTGGAGGTGTTCTGGCTTGTGTCTAGATGTCCCCCCCAAAGCCTCATGGGGTCATAGGTGGAGCTTTTTCAGAGGTAGCTGGATCTAGAGTGTGTGACTGATTCATGGGTGAATGCTGGGATTAAGGGTGTGTGATTACCAAATCAGTGCACTGATCAGTTTGGCACTGCTCTGATCCCCGTAGTCTAGATAGAGTATAAAAGGGGCAGAAAGATGCTGTTAAGGTCTCCTGCTGCTTTTTCTACCTTGTAGGTGCCGTGAACTGTTCTCCTCTCCGATGTCCTCTGCCAAGCCACTCCGCTTTGGACCCAGTGAATTTTGGACTGAAACCTCTACAAACTGTGAGCTAAATAATCTTTCCCCTTTTAACTTTGGGGTTGGGTATTTTGTCTCAGCAACAACAGAAAAGTAACTAACACTAGGGGCACAAATGTATCTTTTCGGTAATAATCATGATAAAACATTAGATCAATAACAGCACCATTTATGGGGTGCTTGCAGTGTGCCGAGTTGTTATAAATACTTCCATGTGTTACTTCCTTTAATCCTCCCAACAAGCCGATAGGAGAGCATGACTATTATGTCCATCTTACAGATCAGGGAACAGAGGCTGGAGAGGTTAATCAACTTTCCCAATTTCACACGTCTAGGACATGGTACAGCAAGCATACAGCCCAGGTAGCCTGGTTCCACAGCCTACGTCTTTGGCTGTCACAGTGTCACTGCTTTTCTCACTTTTTTATCAGGAATTCAGAGAGAATGTGAACTCAATCCTGTCAGCATAACTCTGAGGTAGTGTCTGTGACACGTGGGCAGAGCTCGTGTTCCAGCGCTGAGCCCTGGCAGTGGGTTAGGAAGGTATCTTCCTATTAAGGGCACTTCAAGTGTTAACAAGCAAGTTGGAGAGTCTGAAATGCACTGACGCTTCTTTTTGCTTCTGAAATGACCCACGTGGGTCATTGTGACATGACGAGTCCTGACTGTGGCTGTTTCTGGTGGTTAGTCTTTCCAGGTTGCCCGGAAGGTGCAAGGCAGAATGTTTGTGTGCACCCCACCCTTTCTCTGGGGATGTGTGTGAGTGGCAGGGCAGTGTGGGTCTGAGTCCAAAGGGCTGTGTGGTAATCTGGACTCTGAAGGGTCTGATTAGGGTTAGGAAGTACAGTGAAAACGGCTTCAGGACTGGGAAAACACAGGTGTGAATGTGAGAGTGAAGTTTACCGGGATTAATAATCTAAAGAGAGAAGCACCATTCTGTCCCCAGCTGGGTGCTTCTTAGCTGACATTCTGGAAAGCTAGGGAAGTATTAGAGGCTTGTTATCCAAATCCCACAAAGCTTACTTTTACCCTTGTCTCCTGCTCTTCTTCTTTTATGCACCAGCATTTATTATTCTGGAAGTACCAACTTCTAAGATGGGCACTCCGGAGTGGGTGGAAAATCAGTGCATCACAGCCCAGGGATTAGTTCCCTCCCCTTTCCTCATCAGATATGAGTATCTGGTACCTGCGGTTTGCAGTTGCTTTCCACACACAATTAAAGTACCCACTTTCCAAGCCAGAAACATAGGACATCCCTTTTCTCCCATCCCAGCAAGCTGGGGTAACGGAGGATGACTGCTAGCAATACCCATATCAAACTCCAATCCTAGCCTGGGGAGAAAAGAATAGTGGAGAAGGACAAAAAGAATGTGACATGTAGAAGGAGAGGAAGAATAAATTGCCCAAGACATGAAAGGAGGGGCAACGTACACATTCTAACCTCATCTTATGCAAATAAGGCAGAGTTGGCTACTTTAATAGACTCTGGAAAACTGAAAGGACCCAAAGGGAGAAAGTATTGGTAACAAACGAGATGCAGATTTGGGGAGAAAAGCAGACAGAAGCTCTTCCTTGTAAAGCTAGAGGATGGGATGTTTTTAAATTAGGCTTCAACTGTAGAAGCCTGGCCAGGCTGAGGGTAGGACCACAGAGGCTCCATTGAAGCTCTTGGCACCAGAGGGAGTAGAAGGAGGCTCAAAATGCAAATAGGCCAACTCAGACCCAGGAGGCCTGGCTGAGACCCTGAGTCTCACTGGTAAGGAGAGAGCACACCTGCAGACAGATGCTATCATTACCTACTTCTGGCCGTCCGGGCTGAGCAGCAGTGGGAGCAGGGTTGGGTGGCATAGTTTGGGTAGCAGCCTCAGGTATGCGCTCTAAGACATTGTGACAGTGCAAGAAATAGGCAGTGTTAAGTTTGGACAGAGGCCCAAGGATAGAGTTAGCTGCAAGAGGTGAGCTTTTTAATTTTTTTTTTTTTATTTTAAGGAGAGTAGTAAATGAGAAACAAACAAACAAATAGAACAGTAGCAGCATACCAGTATCATAAACATAAACAAATCAAAGCAAGAACATTCAAAGTGATACTGAGTCTCAAGACAAAATAATATGAATCATCAGTGGTTGTTACATTACATACTGCTATCCTCAACTACATTGCTCAGATTACCAGATGTAAGAATGAAAGATTGCTCAAACCATTATAGGGAACAAGAAAATAATTCTTCGATAGGTGAACTTTTTAGGAAGCTTTGAGCTTTACCCTAGGCATGACCCACATACAGTGCCACGGCGAATCTGGAGACCTAAGCCAGGAAGCACAACTGTGGAGAATGATTACAGTGTCGCATGGACAACATGAGCTTTCATGTGGCTAGACTACTGCACATCAAAGAGAACATAAGGGATGTGTGCCAGCTGATGGTGTACACTGTTCCGTATGGAAACAGGAAGTCCAGGAAAATCAGCTGGAGGTTGGAGGAGATGTGGAGAATATTCCTGAAGCAAAGAGGGCGTGGATGGGCAGAGAAGCTGGGATCGCTGGGTGCTGGGTTGGGGAGAGCTCTGGCCGAAGCAACGGGAGGGAAGCACCGTGGCGACCTGTTGAGAGTGTGGATTGGGAAGCATCTGGGCTGCATTAGAAGCCTGGCTTGACCATAGTGGCTGTGTGACCTTGGGCAAGTCACATAAATCCTCCTTGCCTTCTGTCAGTAAAGGGAGACTTAACATGAGAATGAAGTGGGTCAATATTTAGAGAAGGAATTGGGTGTTATCTGATACTGAGCTAAGCTTCATATAAGGGTTTGATAGTTAGAAGATGACAATATAATTTAGAAGGAAAACATGAAGAGCTCATAGCTGTTAAGATGGCACAGCAGAAGTGGAAATGCTGAGAAAAGCCCTGGATAGTGTGCTGAAGGGTTGAACGGGAGGAGTTATTAGTTTATTAAATGTGAGTTGAGAGGAAAAAGGAGTGTCGCTCGGCTGGGGTCCCCAGTGCTGAGAAGGCCTGGCAGGTAGGAGAGAGCTGTGGAAGCTGGGAGGATAGCCCCATTTTTGGGACAGTGACATGTGTAGTGCAGCACCTGAGGAAGTGGAGGAGGCAGGGGTTTCCCCACAGAGCTGCCTCATAGACCACTGAATCCCCAGCAGAACAATGGAAGACCACCAGCCGACACAACAAAGGCATTGCTGCTATGAGCAAGTGGCCACATTTTGAAGTTGTTTCTTTATTTTGGGAAAATTCTGAGCAGAAAAGAGAGGATGGGAGTCCTGAGGTTGTGGAGGGAATAGATGCGGTGGTCTCCATGCGACCTTATATAGATTCAGGGGCCAACCTTGGCCTGAAACCAGCCATCCAGCCAGAGGTCCACATTAATAGCAGGCAGCCGTGCAGCATGGGGTCACTGAGACAGGAAGGGCTCTCCACTGGCTGGGCTGTTGTCGCGAATCTGGAATCCAGATCTTGGAGTATTTGCTTTCCAGGCACATCATTGCCCTGGTCAGAACCTCTCCCTCCCTCTCCCCAGCTTCCCGCCTCTGCCCCTCCCTGCTTGTAACTACTCTGCAGCTTGCAAAGCGCACAAGTTCACTGGGGCCACAGGGGAGCTGGTGGGGTGGGCTTCTCTCTTTCCTAATGACTTCCTCTTGACTTGCTGCTGGTAGGAGTAGTTGTAAGACAGCAGGGAATCGGCCTTCAGCCTTAGAAAGTAAAAGCTCCCGACAGTGGATTTTGTTTTCTGGAAGTAAATTAATTGAACAGCTCTGGGTAAAGAGGAGAGTAGAAAAGAGAGAAGGGCTGTGAACAAGAGAGAATCAGAGAGCCAGGTAGTCAAAGGGAGTGGGGCAAGGATGGTTGAAAGTATGGGGAAATGTTCTGTCAATCATAACTGTGTCATTGTACCAATGAAATTAATAGTTACATCAGGCCTTGGCTACACTCTGCTCATGCCTTTCAGGCATCAGCCAGCTGCTGAAGGACTGTTAGAAGCTTCTGGTAAGCAGGGAACATGGATGGAGGTAGACTGTGAACTTGGATAATGATAACACCACCTGGTGTTTCCCATAAGTCTGACCCTGGCAGTACCAGTGAAACAATTCAACACCATCCTGACCCTGTCAGCCTTGGCCTCAGAAAGTTTTGGGGAAGTAGGCCTCATAGATACCCTCTGGGTAAAGGACAAGCAACTCCTTGTTCTCCAGGGGAAACACCTGTGCTGAGAGCGAGGACAAATGATGGGGTGCTTTTGCCTCCTGGAAAAGGGGATTCCACATCATGACCAATATATTTTTTGGCCATTTATTGTACCTTTTCTGTCTCTATCTAAGGTCTTAGGGAATCTCTATTTGCTTCAGGGTAGGAGCTCAGCTTCCTGTGAACCCTAATGCATCTTTAGGTAAATGCGCATGCAGGCTGGTGGGTAAACCAGGGCCATCAGTGGGCCTTATACTATGGAGTGCACAAATGCGGGCAGATTTATCTTGTCCAAGTAGACCCAGATCCAGGCTGTGAAGATAGGAATTCCTTCCTGTACCCTCCATGGAAATAGTATTCCCTGACATCTGAAAATCCTCATGGACCACAGTTTGGGCATAGGCTTATTCCACAACATTTTTAGTTCCCTGTGCTGGGCTGTCATTTACCTCTTGTAGCCATATTATCACATTGAAGTTGCTTTCGTTTTTGTTATCTGGACCAATACTTGTTGTCTAGCCTTTCAGTGAATGGAGAATCCAGTCCCCAGAACTAGTCAGGGTCTGACGTGGATTTTCACACCATTTATTGTGTGGGAATGGCCTGGAAACACAGTTTAAATGTTCAGATCTTTTCATTTCATGTAGTGTCTCATGTTCATGGAAAGAGATTCTTAGAGATTGCCTGTTAGTTGGCTTGACACTTGCTTCTGCTTTTATTCTCATATTTTTATCTTTCTAGTTGAAGTTCTTGTCTTGTTAGACACATGGAACATCAAGCTTGGAGAGCTTATTTCAGAGAGAAAACATTTGCTCAGATCTGCCACATCCTGGTTGTCCAAACCTCATGGATAGGCTTTGGCTTTCTCTAGGCATTATTAATAACGATCCCTTTGTTTAGAGACAAGTTTTAATTTTTCAAGGCTCTTACTTGATCTCATGACAACCCTGCCAGGTAGTTATCAAATGAGATGATACATATGAAATGCCTTGTTATGGGACAGGTATAAAATGGGTAAGATGAGAGAGCATCATTTTACAAACAATGACATGAAAGCACTGAGCAATTAGATGTGAGCTGCTGTAACCGAGGAGCAAAAACCAGGAGCTTTAAAATAGGCAAATGTGAGTGGGGGAGACGAAGACCAGTCTTTAGCTGACTGTTATGTTGGGTATAGCACTTAAGACTGTCTGGTTCTTTATTTTTTAATAAACAGATGAAGGTAACAGCAACACTTATACCAGGGATGCCACAGATATTAAAGGGGATTGTGAACACAGAACATATGACACAATGCCTGGCACTCTGTGACACTCAGTACTTGGTAGGCATAATTATTTTGGAAAGATTAACACATAGATGGCCATATACCCACCTTCAACATGGAAGTTTTACATTTGCTTTTCAGTGTCTGTTATTAGAATATCATGGAACAATGACAAAAACCCCTGATATGAAAGGGTAAAAGATCTATCCTATTTCCCACTCAATTCAGAGATGAAAGCTTTGCAGTCCAGAGACAGAAAATAGTTTTCCCCAAGGCACACAGCTGCTTAGAGGCAGCATCATGGTGATCAGTTGCCTGAGCCTTGACAATTTTCCAGGCTGCATGACTTTAAAAGCAAACACAGTGACAATTCTGGGACAACTGAAAAGGGCTAGTCACCATAGACAAGATCTGGTTCCCCTGTGACCAGCCAGCTCAGTAACCTCTTCACTTGTGAAACAAATGTTCTCTATCAAGTCAGACTTTTCTCAGTGTTTATTCTCTGGATACGGAAAAGGCCCTGCCCATTGGTCTGCCTGGTCCTCAGGCTGTCCTCATCCTCGGAGACTAGGACACTTTTCCACATTATCTCCACACCTCACCTCTGTACTCTTCCCTGGATCCTTCTGAGCTCAGGGTCATGGGAGAGCCTCAGGGCTGGGTTAGTGCTATGTGGAGGCCCCATTGCCTATAAGTGTGGCGCTGGGGGAGTTGCGTTCAGGCCACTGGGAGGAGAAAAAGAATGAGAAACATGTGGGTGACAAGCTGGTCACAGAGAGAACAGTGAGTGATGTCAAGGTATAGTAAAGTAAGGAAGTGAGAGAGAAAAAGAGTGAGGAGTTGAGATTGGCAGCATGAATTGTTGGTGTCTCATACACCATCTGCCTGGAGACAAACAAGGGACTTCTTCCAGAATATATAAGGGACTCAGGTCAATGGGACAGGACAGATTATTCATGAAAGAAAGAATAGGCAAAAGCCTTAACATTCAAATGGTCAGTAACATATGAAAAAGATAAATATGTTTAGCAATCAGAGAAATGCAAATTAAAAGAATATACCACAGCGAATAAAATAAGACATCAGGTGTCGTTGAAAATGTAGAGCAACTGGAACTCTCACACTCTCCTAATGAGAGAATAAACTGGAAAAACTGCTTTGGAAAATTGCTTGGTAATATCTACTAAAGCCAACTATCCACACACACTGCATGGATTCGTAATTTTACTCTGTGATAGTGCCCAAACAGAAATGTGTTTCTGTGAATCAATCAGAAAGAATTTGTAGAAGCATTATTACAAAGGCCTCAACCTGGAAATAACTTGAAGTCTCGCAATAGTATGACGTATTGATTTTTTTTGGTACCAGGAATTGAACTCAGGACCTCACGCTTGCCAGGCAGGCACTTGTGCCACTGAGCTATATATCCCCAGCCCCTCAGTGGTATGATGAATAAAGATTCCGGATACAATATCTCAGAGGGGTGCGATACAACTATGAAATGAATGATGTTGCTCTGTCTAATGGATTAGACACAGAGAGACATATATTACATATATGATTTCATTCATATCCTGTTCAGAAATGGGTAAAACTGACCTGTAGTTTTACAGAAAAAAATAAAAGACTGACAGTGCCTTTTTTTTCTTTGACTTGAATGGCGCTTACATGAGTGATTTTACCTTGTGAAAACTTATTGAGAAGAGCTCTTTACAGTTAGAATACATTTCTCTGTGTAGATACTTTTTTAAATAAGTGCATGTATTTAAAAAATGGATGCAATGTTTCATCCTGTGTCTTTCATACATGCTGAGAGTTACTGTGCTGCTGCGAGCAAAACATCTGGCCCTTGGTTTCTCTAGGACACTATGCTGCTATCCAGAGATATGGTGCGAAAGAAAGATAGGCCTAGCTTCCCTTTGGGTTCCACCCTGAGCCCGAGTAATCTTGCATTAGCTACCCCTCCAGCACCCAGGAATTAAGACACCTGTGTGCAATTGGCACCTTCCAGCCCCAGCACCTTCTCCCTTCCTCTCTAGAGAAATAAACATATTTTCTGTTTGTTCTGGGCCTTCAATCCTACCAAGCCACTTGTTTGAGAACTTTAACAAATTGACTCCTGCCAATCTCCTCTCTTCTCCAGCCATTCCACTTCATTTTCAGTCCATTCCCCACCCCCCCACCTTTTGTCCTTGGTTTTCAAGACATCCCATTTGGGCTGAGCCCTATTCGGTGACAAGATGTCAGAACAGCTCAGGCCTTAGTTCTGTTGTGTGATTTAAGAAAAAAAATTGACTGGGGAAATTAGATGGAGGTGATTGCAGCTAAAGTGCCTTTTATTGAAGCTTTTGGAAAACGTAAATGTCATCAGTCTTGTCAAAGCCAGACACAGGAGAAAATAACAGGACTAGAGGCGGGCCAGGATACATGCTGGGACCGTACGAACATAGAATTAGTCTTCTCTATTTGTTATTATTTTTTCCTTGTAGGTAGTGGGGTGGAAGGGGCAGGAGAAGAGAAGACAAACAGGAGGGGAGAGTGGGGCATGGTAGGAACCTGGATGAAAAGTGCTAAACTTGAGCAGTGTTATTTTTTTTCTTCTAGAGCTTTGACTACATCCCTGTGATTTCTGAGCAACTGAGATGAAAACAGCTGAGATGAGGGGTTAAAAGCTTTGCCCTTTGCCTGGAATTAGAGTTGTGGGCAGTGGCCCTGGCTGGGCTGGCAGAGGAGATGTGATATTCGGGTCTTGGCTGTCGTCACAGCAGCTGGGGACCAGCAAGTCATCCATGTGCCCTTTCTCGGTGACAACTGGGAAGCACATCCACATGGAAAGGACAGGCCTACCACTCAAAGGCCCCCTGAAAAACTTCTACCTGTGAAGATAAGGAAGACTACTGCGCAGCCCAGGACAGCATGTGGCTAAAAATCCACAACTGAGTTCTGAGGAAGGATTAGCTATGCATCTGTAACTGGAGGGAACTAATGTGTGTAAATCAGTCAAAATTTGAGCTTGAAACCTATAGATTCATGGATGAGAAGTGAATGACTTAACCAGAAGTAGAAATGGAGATTGAGGTTGGGGCATTGTAGGCAAGACTTGGATAGATGATTCTTTGTGCAAATGTCTGGACTGGTGATGTTTGGCAGTAGGGAGGGCAGGCAGGAGGCAGCAGGTGGCCACTCCCAAAAAAGTGCGAGCTCAGGGAAGGGAAGTCTAGCATGACAGTCCTGGGCCAGGCATGGTGACAGGAATCAGGTGGAATGCAGTTGTGCGTTATGGAGAAAAGGTAGGGCTTAAAAGAGCATAAGCAGAGCCTTGTTTCGGAGCAGTAGAAGGTTCAAGGTTGGAGTAAGGGCCTAAGAGCAAGGTTATCAAAGATCTCTGAGACTATGACTATGGGATCCTCACAGTTACCTCTCTGAGGGTAATACTAATTCCTTGTTCCAATAGGGGAAGAGACTATGTTTGGGAATAGAGTAACTACTTAGGTTGGCAGAATGGAGAGAGCTAAACGTTCCCTCATGTAGAATCTCTCGTGTTAGTCCACCCTATCTAGAATCCAGTCTGTTAGATCTGAGTAGGCCAGACATTTGAGAAACTGGAATTAGAAGGGAAGAAGGCATTTGTGAAGGTTTTGTGGAAGAAATATGACTCACATTCTAAAGTTTCCATCTTCCCTCCATATCTCAAGATTGGGATCATCCAGATAATAATACACCCTGTTGTAGGCAGGGTTTGCAAGGGAATATATTCGATACAGGACATACAATTTATAAGATTATTTTATAATATTCACCCCAAAAGCCAAATGTAGAAGAGTGCAGGAGACCTGTCCATGCGCTAAAGACCCAAAGAATCCACCTAGATCCTATGACAATGTGCTGCTGGATTCTAGTTGAAGGCCTATGGCCAGTGGCAATGTCTCCTGCAAGTCTGTTATCAAGGATCTGCCCTGGGAAGGCTCAGCGGTCACTGGTGAAAGCTAGAAAGTCTGCCAGCAGGCTGAGGAATCTGCACTGGAGCAGGGAAGTGATGCTCAAGGTAAGGACCAGCGCTCCCCAAAAAAGAACCACAGTGGTGACAGTGAGGGCTCAACCTCCTCCAATGATGAGAACAGCGGAGTTCATACCAGGAAAACTAGCGTGACAAGCTTCTCCAGGAGAATCAACAGCACACCATCTTCCCCTGCAGTTCTCCTTTTATGCTGCTGGGCATAATTCTCAGGGGGCCTTCCACACCCAGAACTACACTGATTCACTTCAGCTGGGTGTTATGCGTTGCCCCTTAGTCAATCCACTACACACCTGAAGCATATCTGATCTGAAAATCCAAAACCAAAATTGATCCCAAACATGACCGTTTTAAGCTCCTAAATGATGTCACCAGTAGAACATTTTATACTTCCATTCATGCGACAAGTTGCAGTTAAAATGAAGATTCATGAACATATTGTACAAAATTAATCTGTAGCAGGGTGTGCTGGTGCACACCTGTAATCTCAGCACTAGAGTGACTGAGAAAAGAGGATTGCCATGAATTCAAGGCCAGCTGTGGCTATATCATGAATTCAAGGCCAGCCTGAAC